AACTGATGCTAATTCTATATTGTATGGGAAAAGTTAGAGGTAAATTGATAGATGCCGGGTAAAAAACCCCCAGAAATTTAAAAATGAAAGATAAAAAGAAAAGACAGTGAAAAAAATCAAATTAAAGATGAATTTAAAATAAAGTAATTAACCCATTCCTCTGCTTCAATCTTCATTTAAGACCCCGTCCTTTGGTGGGGGGGGGGGGGCGGTCACAGAATTTTGATCAGATAACCACGCTACAGTGTATTTTTATTGTTGTTGTTGTTGTTTTTCAGAAATCCAATAACATCGGGAACAATTGGTTAACTACGGGGGCCGTTCAAAAATTACGCGGACTTATTGCAAAGAAAAAATATTTGATCACATAATCGGGCAAAATGTCAAACATAATATAAAAGAATCTTTACTTATATGGTCTTCAAAATTTCATATCAAATGTTATAAATTGGTATTAATTTTGAGTGATTTTGCAGGACATATCATTAAGTCACGGAGCAGCAAATCTTCGACGACACAGGTATTATAAAAAATATGTTATTGAGCTTTCGTTTTCTCAACATTTTCCAAGGAGTGCCTGTACAGTTTTAAATACCTTATCTCCTCAACATCCAAACACCATTTCTTGTCAAGCTTAAAATCTATTAAACAAGTAAAGATTATTTTTTGTTTTAAAACCGAAAAAAGCAAGTATTTAGGAGATATAGTGTGATATTGGTGACTTTACAGCCAGCGGCGTATATTCCTTTCTGTTCATGTGTAGGCTAATGTGAATCGGAGATTCACCTGAGGCGTGAAGCGCCGAATGGGGGTAGGTACGGGAGGGGGTCGCCCCCTCCCCCGAGAAAATTTTGAAAATTAGATACAAAATCATGCGATTTTACGATAAAAAGATTTTAAAACGAATATATTTAAAACTTGATAGGAATATAAATTCTTGTAGTATCACAGAAAAAAAACCAAATATCGTTCTGTAGGAAAATCTGTATTTTTTTTATCTTGTATTTGCGAAACACTATATTATCGCGTGATATAATCACCTTTGCTTTCATTCTTTTTTTTTTTTTTTGTCCTGTTCATAATTAAATGTAACTTTTTAAAAAAATATTCTACTATAGACTTTATAGTAAATTTCACCTTGTATGACTTAACCCACATATCGGAATCAAACCGTCGGATAAATTTAAATCCAGTTTGTTTAGAATTAATACGGCCTTTTTGCCATTTAACTTATTAATGGAATAAAATTAAAAAGGCAAGACCTATGATTTTGAAGCAACTTTATTTATAATTCTTACTTTCAGAGATTATGTATGCCTTATATATTTTTGTAATCCTTGAGAAAATGATGTGTAGGCTACAGCCTTTTAGCCTATATGGAATATACGCCACTGACAGCCCGAATAAAGTTTTCGTCGATAATCTTCTTCCCGTCCTCCCGTAAAGTCTTTTTTACAGAGGTCTAAAATTCAATTTGCTTTTTGTGGACGAATGTCACGAATACCCTTGTTTACTACATGTACATGTTTTATTATGCATATTTTGGATCTACGTTGGCGATATCTCGAGCATTACACATAATTTAACAAAAGTGCGGTGCGCCGTCAATTCAGGAGACGTCATTTTCACAGTCGTTTTTACAGGAATCGCATCAGAGAGAAATCACTATATTTCTGTTAATACTTCAAATATCACGTCAGAGAGTTCGAGCTAAATGCATAATAATAGAACAATTTAAAGATACATTTGAGAAAAATACATCGCGAATTATAGAATATTAATGAGTTAAATTTTGGAATCCGCATGGTTTTGCTTCAAATTTTTTGTCGTGCTCCGTACCTCTGTATCAGTGATATCAACATACCGATAATTTTAATAGATTTTTTTTAAAATACAGAAATTTTGCCCAAAATTTATTGGAATCTTTAAGATTCATATTTTGTGAAATTTCATAATTATGTGAAGGCTGTAAGAGTAAATAATACTATGTACAGTCCGCGCAATTTTTTAACGGCCCTCGTATGCCTAATCCCAACTCAAAAGCTGAAAATAATTACGGTCTAAAGTCAAGAGATTTTTCTGAAAATATTACTTTTTAAAGTGATTTTGCCAATACGCAAATAATATCAATAACTTTTAAATAAATTGATACAACAATAACAAAATTAAATATTGAGACCGTTTGAGTTAATTCATAAAATGAAGAATTGTCCTTCCTAGCTGAGGATCGGAGTACTTTACTGAGGATCGGAGTAACATGTTTTTAAAAGGGGGGGGGGTCAAAAACGACCAAACAACCCCCTTGTCAATGAAATATTTGATAATACTCGTAAATATTGAAAGAAAAAAAACAATTTAGAATGTTTCTTATACAAGATAATTCTTTTTGCTGTGGGATTAAATTGAAAGATTAAGTGGCGTTTAATTTTGGCGGATGCATACAACATGCCTGCATATGACGTTTGATTACGTGACGGACATGGATTTTTTTTATCACTTTAGTATAGCGTAAACAAACAGGAATAATTATATGATATTACGGTGCTTGTTTGTGTTAATGTTTTATGGATTTTGATTATGCTTAAATGTAAATTATGGTTGAACCGATAATAAGACTTTGATTCCCGAGAAGGAAGTAAATGGCAAGGGAGATTAAATATCTGGATTTCGCATTGAGCGTTTACATACAATTGCTACCTACAATAATAAAAATGGACTGATTAATTTAAAGGATAATTGCTTGTACGTTACATTGTCTTCAAACCTGTTCATTAACTATAATAATAGGTTCTCTTTTAGAAAAATATTCATGTCCTAATGCAATGTCCTTTGCCATGCAAGCCATGAAAGATCCATTAAAATTATCAAAAGTTGCAGATAACATCACACGGATCTGATAAGTACAATCGTTAGCCACCATTGGTCCGATAAATGTTTGTGTAATGTTTCTCGGTACTACTTCATACATTTCATTTAAAAAAATAATAGGTGACAATGTTGTTGTATAAGGATTCATTATTGCGGTGCAGTTAATTGTGTCTCCTCCCACTGAACCACTGATATAACTAGGTTCGATCTCGATCGATATATTGGCAGGAGGAGCTGAAATTATATAAGTAAATTCAATTTTAAACAGACAACTATTTCTAATCAACGATCTTCGCTTAAAACGCTTATGTTACCTTCCCTAAAATATTGAGATCTACGAAAAATATTTATATAAAACGTTCTTAAAATCGAAAAAAAACACGTATTATGTATACTCATTGAGTCAAAAAAAGAGAGATTTAGATATACCGTACCTGTGATGATAATGTGGCTGCTATTTGCCCATTCAGACTTAACAACATCATCCATTGTCACGGAGCATGAAACGTTATATAGGTAATCCAAGGAACAAATATCTATTGTAGGCGCTGTTAAATTTAGAGTCATGTTCACAATGATATCATCATAGCTCATGCTTGTGACAACACTGAACCTGTCTACTAAATCCAGTTTCTCTACAGTTTGGTTGTAGTGGAATTTCTCGATGACATGCGATGTCTGGTTGTAATAGACGGACAGGCTAACATATAGCCAGTCTCCTTGTGGGGTGATGCGACATGCCTGTACTGTAGTTATTTCTCCAGGGACTGCAATAATACTAGGAACACTGACATCTAACCAGAAACAAGGTTACTGTATTAATCATTTGATTTCAAAATATCAATTCAAATATTTGTTGTTATTTTTTATATCTAAAATGCTATTTCTTCAAGATAGGCAATATCGTTTGAACTAAGTAGTTTTCTGGCTAGAATGCTAAAAAACTTTTCAAATTTTCTGTCCACTAAAACTTCACAATCTTGCAGCTAGGTTGGTATTTCAAGATTCGTGACATAGAATACCAGTAGTACCAACTTAAGTGTTGTTTTGACAGTGGTGATACACTGGTATCTTCGAATTTTCAAACAATTAGAGCATAGAAAATGTATCAAAATAGACAGATACAACACATACCAAAATGTACAGTCTGATCTGATTCTTCAAAGCGTACAACAAAAATGCTTACTCTAGCGTAGCCTAGCATCTTGTGAATTCTTGTCTATTTCTTTCCTAGCTGACTTGCACACATATAGATCAATTTACTCATCTCATTCAAATTATTAGAAAGTATTATTTCTCTTTTACTGAAACCTTCATTTATTATTTCTTGAACAAATTTCTCTTATCATTCCACCAAATCAATGAAAACTTGCTGATCTTGAGATTTTGAGAATAAATTTAAAATACATATTTATCACTTTATGGTTACGGTTATAACAAGTGCTCGCATCGTCCGATTCATGTACTAGTCCTATGGAAGGGAATTACCGCCAAAAGTCTATGTATCTTGATTTTATTCTTATTCTGCCTACTTCTTTATGCTTTGTTATTATTGTAACTATATGTCACTTTATTGTTTTCATATTCGTCTTTAATACATTTCACTTTGACTTTTATCCTTCTTCATTTTGCCCTTACTTCTATGTTGCTTTATTCTTGTAAATTCATTTTACTTTCTTTTAAATTAATACAGTTTCTTAAATGATTATGTCTATTACGAACGTTAACTCAATCACGCAAACAATGAAGCAAATTCAATGAAGACGAATACAAGTTGTCCGAATTTAGTGCCGCATTATAACGCTAGGTGGCAGGGGTGTTCGCGAAGAGTGTTGGTAAAATTAGGTAAGCAAACCCGGGCCGGGGTTATTCGAGTTTTTTCAATTTTCTGCCTTAAGTACTGTTAATACTTTATCAATTAAACTTAAATTTGTAAATGACTGATGTTTGTTATAAGTTCAGGTATGTACCCGATACATGCCATTCCCTCGGAAGTCTCGCTAGATGATAAGATTTCCCCTGGAAGACTGACTACATAGTGATGCTTCCTTCGGAAGACTATGCAGTGGGACTTCCCCCGGGGAAGTTTCAATATATAGCTAGTCTTCCGTGGGAAATCTCGCTATATATAGCAATTCGCCCTCATTCCTAGCAACCCCTCCCCCGAATAGTTTTTTTTTAAATCGTAAAACAATGTTTATATATACTAACGTTTTCAGTTTTTGAAGAAGTTATCCGTTCTATATGAATAAATATTTAAATAATATTATTTTAATAGTGTTTTATAATTAAATCATTTTAACCATTTAGTTAAACATAGATAATCTTTACGAGTACATATGGATAATGACTCTTTCTCTCTCTCCCCCCCCCCCTGGATGCAGTCGCCCGCGTGGCACTGCGGTTACGGCGTCTGCTCTATATAGAGTCACGAAGTACAGTAGTAAGGAGTCGACCAATACGTCGTGGGTTCAAATCCCACTATATGACGTGGAGTTTGGTCCTTCGGATGAGATCTAGATTATATTATCCGAGGTCCCGTGTCGCAGTAGGTGCTAGCACGAAAAAAGACCCCTCACTGCTCAATGGCTATAAGTGCCGAGTATATAGGACAAATTTGCAGCTCTCCACCGGAAAGAGGTGGCTTCTCCATTTGAGTGAAAAATTCTCGAAAAGGAAATTACACAATGTACAATCACACCACCAGAGTCTCAATATATATATTGACTTCCGGGTGGACGACCTCCTATTGGGTAAGTTTCATCGGTAGAGGGGAGGGTGGCCACGAAACATTTTCCTAAACGTAACTTTTTACTACTGGAAAAGTTCAGCGAAAGGCTTGTTGCTCCATCCCTGACACTTTTTGTTGCAGTACTAATAGTCAATTTATATATTAAAAGTCATGTACTTAGTGGCATATGAGTAAAATTAATTACTGAAAAAAGTTGATAACCCCCCCCCCCACCCTTCAACACCACCAAATAGAATTTTCGAGCTTTAAGATTTTTTTTTAGCTCTCCTTGTTGATGACAAACACGGTGCATACTAAAGACATTTCTTTCTTTATTGAAAAGTGCTATTTTAATATAAAATATTAACGCAGAAAAAAAGACCAGGGTGTTTCTAGTATGCCTGGGTGCATGTAGTCTGGTTCCGACTTCGCCTTCCATGCACGGATCTAGAGGGGGTAGGACCCCCTGGAATTTACAAGGTTACTAAAACAAGGAGAAAAAAGTCCCCCCCCCCCACGAAATAGAATTTTGACGTTTGAGCGAGTTTAGTTTTTTTTCTTCTTTTTATGCTTGTTAAGAAATTTCTGGGATTGGATTTTTTTTTGACTGGGTTGCCCCCCCCCCCCCCGGAAAATAATTCTGGATCCGCGCCTGCCTACCCATAACGCCCCTCACTCCTTTGCAAAGCCCTGTCCCTAGAATCACGCGCATCAGCAGTTACTATCTGTCGTGAAATAAAGTTCAGTTCAGTGGGAGGTTCTGAAAAACATCCCAATTCATAAGGGTTAACTAGTATTAAAATATTTAACATTTTTATATCAATTAAACTGTAATTCAAATATCCAACAAATAACTTTAGTAGAGTTATATATTTCAGGCGAGAGAACAGTGACGTAGCATCGTTTTTGAAAGTGGGGAGGGGAGCAACAAGAGAATAAATATTCAAGCTACCCGGCTGAAAACAACTTGACAAGCGCAAAATAAACCCCAGGAAAGTGTCCAAACTTAAAAATACATAGGCATCGGAACCGGGGAAGGGGGGGGGGGTGGTTAGCCCCCACTTCTTTCCAAATATAGACTTAGTATAGACATTGAACATTCCTGCGTAGGTTTAGCCTCCCCCCCCCCCCCACTTTCCCTGGACACGATGCAGTAAAGGTTTAAAATGGGGAAAGTGGTGGTATTTGGAAAAAAAACTTTGGCACTGGAGTTCGAACCTTCAAACCCAGCCCCCCCCCCCTCTCATGAAATAGGATTTTTATGTTTGGAAAATGGACATTTTTTTTTTTGCTTGTCAGGTTTCTTTTTGAAGGTCTAAAAAAATTCTTACACTTACCCCCCCCCCCCCCCCAACTTTCAATGAAATCCTATTTCGGGGGCGGGGTGGGTTTTGAGTTAGATTCAACTTCTTCTATAGAATCAAATTTAAATTTTTTTCCTACTATACGTACTACATTAACTTATTTGACCCTTACTCTTACAAAAAGTGGGTCGGCCTTTTAATGAACTTATTCAGTATATTATAAAGTTATGTCTGAAAAAAGAGGCCGCTATTCCTGTGTGCCCAGAGAAAATAAATATGGAGTTTCCATCATTGGATCGGATGATCGGATCCGGCCTTCAGAAGTTCGATTGATAAAGTACTAAGGCCTATTGAAGAATCTCAAATAACCCGACCCGGGTTTGCTTACCTAATTTTACCAACACTCGTAGCGAACACCACACCACCTAGCGTTATAACGCCGCACTAAATTTTGACGGTTTGACAACTTCCATTCGTCTTCATTGAATATGCTTCATTGTTAGCGTGATTGAATTAACATTCGAAGTAGAGATAATGCTAATAATTTATTTAAGAAACTGTTTAAGTTTAAAAGAAAGTAGAATGAATTTACAAGAATAAAGCAACATAGAAGTAAAGACAAAATGAAGAATGATAAAAGTCAAAGTGAAATGTAATAAAGACGAATATGAAAACATTAAAGTGACATATAATTACAATAATAACAAAGCATAAAGAAGTAGGCAGAATAATAATAAAAGCAAGATACATAGACTTTTGGCGGTAATTCCCTTCCATATAGTCCGATTTAGATATGTGAGTTTTCTACGCAATTATATATAATCTTTCTAATAATGATATAATTATTCTTTTTTTTTCAATCCATACATCGCATTCTTACATGCTAATTGTGTCGAAGATGATTTGGGCGTACTTATAGTTGATAATTTCGTTGAACCTGTAGCGAGGATAATTAACAAATATAATTATAGTTGATTCAATTAATTGAATATGAGGTGAATTTGACATACAGTTTACAAAAACGTCTAATTAAAGTGTAAAGACTACTTGTAAAAGACCTCATTAAAGAGTTAAAGTAAAGCTTTAAAAAAACTTGTTCAAATTAACTAATAAATGAC